ATCGCCGACTTTTCGCAGTCTGCCTCAGTCCCCCAACAGCCTGCGCGGCCCTTGGTAACCCGGGCGACAATCGAGCCGGTATAATTTTCGATGGCGTCAATACCATGAATGGCAGGTGGCTAAATTTTACGGAGACTTGCCGCGATCTCCAACTCTGTTCCTCTCTCTACCGGGCTTGGGACGGATAACCGCGGAGTTAAAATGTGAAAACTTTGGGAAGTTCTTTGCAGCTGGGATATTGCAAATCTTGGATATAAATTTGTCACATTTAGTGAATAACTGTTCCTTTAGAAGCTAATTATTTCTGAATAAAACTACTAGAGAATTTTGGTGCTCGTTCTTCTAGTCAGCAAGTAGACGCTGCTGTCGTACCACTCCTGGCCATAACGATTTTTTTTTATCTCATAGAGTCTGTTTCTTCCATTTTTTGGAAACTGAAGTTGCGATGAACCCTATTAGCTGACATGATAAACGGCCCACTATTTATTTGTTTAATATCCGTCCTCATAACACGGGCATAATTTCTCAAAGCAGGCTATCGACATAAATTATTTGGTTTTGCCCATCATGTCATACATAAATGGGAATTTTTCTGTGACTAGTGTCTTTGTCAGACTTGTGAATTTCTGATTACAACTGCACTGGCTAAACCAGTCAACGTGCAACCTGTCATGACGATTTTCAAAGTATATCAGTTCCAAAGGTCGTCTATGTCAATCACTTGATTTCAATCCTACTGCTGCCTATCAATTAAAAGTTCTAGATGAGTGGAGGGCGATGTCAGTATCAAACTGAATTTATATTTTATGTTCTGATTGACACACCGTTCAATCGGAAGTAGCTGTTTACACAAATGGCAGCTGGTTAGTGATATCAATTACTTAATTTTCTTCTTTGCACTATGTTACGATCGACATATTAAAATGAGAATAATTACGTTTGTCCGAAGGTTAATTTCAGTTTTCATTTGTCTGGTTTCACGATTAGGATTGTATCGATGCCTGAAAATAAGAGATTCTAACTCTTAGATAAGCGACTTTGCGAAAAACTTGGCCTCACGCAGCCATCTGGAGAATTGGGACAAGTTTCGATTCGTGTTCACACGACGCTTTCAATTGACATACAAAGTGAGAATAAAATCAAGCAATTGATACGAATGACTGCCTGCCAATCATATAGAATCCTATATCTGTCTAAACGCCTACGTGCTCATTTAATGACTATGCCTGACCTAATAACTTCGCGCAGCTACCATTATGGAACCATACCTTCGCGCATAACAACAGCATCATATCGTATTTGTAGAGAATCGCTCACTGATAGGTAATATCAATGACGAGGCCAAATAATTGAAACAAATCGCCATCTGCCAATGATATAGATTTATATTAGCGAACTACAGGATTATGCGCTTATCTATTGAGTTTCCACTGTCCACGCAACGGAAACAGAAAGTCACAAGTTTCAGAACAACATCGTACTTCATTCATACCGTTGGCTTAGTCAGATAGCTCATGCAGGTGATCACCGACCAATCATACAGATTTAAAGCGGTAATCATAGCACCGAGCAATGACAGAAATCAGCGGCGAACATCTAAATGGTGTGCTCCAAAATGGCCGCCCAAAAACATCTCATTGCACTCATGATTTAATGAAGTTTGAAAATTTTTCACATTAAACGGCACTTAAAACTGATCAATCGCTCTAAACAAAGTATTATCATCAACTTTAAAACTAACGTCCATTACCAATAAATCACTGTTAAGAGTACATACAAAAAACATTCCAAACAAGAAACCACGATTCCATTTCAACTGCACAACACCACAGCAATAAACATAATACACCACAGTAATTCAAATCAAAACCCACTGATGCAATTAATTTCTGCATACTGGAAATATTTCAATCGAAAAAAGCCAGAGATAGTATTCATGAAGGAATTACTCTTCATAGTCTACGCTCATGTTCTCACGTGTATCAACCGGCCGTAATACCAGGGTTCCGTCGAATATAGAGATTCAACTGAAGAACATTAATTATGTGAATAAAACCGGAATTTCATCAGCGTCCTCAAATATATTATGAGGAGTAATTTTTAGCGCATCCGTCAGTTTCAGAAAATCGTCTTTCACTTTTCTATCGTGTTTCTTCTTCTTCTGCACTTTTTTAAGCCTGAAAAATTCTTCTCTTTCCCTCTCGTCCAGCTCCGTAACGATATACTGTGCTGTGCGTTCCAAACGAGGAATAATGACTATGAATATAAAGTTAGCAGAAAGAAGCATAAAGACATTACTTATTCCAAATTACCATATTCTATGGCATTCACTCTCCGATTTGTTACTTTGATTGCTTCATCCAACGTCACAAAACAGGTCTGCAATGTGGCTAGCTCGACAAGCAGTTCGACGACCTTATTGTAATTCTTCTTCATCTTCGCTATATTTGCCCCTCCTTTTCCCAAGCCAGTTAAATCATAAGCTGAAAAAGAGAACCAATTATAAGTGATTATCAAAACCTAACAAATTATTATCACTGATATGAAAACTGCATTCCGTTAACTAAAAATGGAAAACAAGCTATTTATTATATCAAAGGACAAAATGCGAAATGATAAGCTCTGCACTCACTTATCAGCTTAAGGCGACATGAAGTATTGCCCTAATTCTGAATTAACTTAGCCTAAAATTTATTGTATGCTACTAAGTTGAGTATACTAGTATACATCTAGTATCGGAATAGAAAACTAAAAGTATAAATTTCCATTCAAATTAAAAACAACACAAGACTCTATAACCATACACAATGCGAACTATTAGGTCTATCAGATGATTTACCAGTAACATTTCGACCGGTCTCTCATGAGCCTTCTTCAAGAAAATGAAGTGCATGACTCCCCAAAGTCTTTCTATTCGTCTGCAATAATTATTACGCTCAGAGCAAGGAGAGTCTTCTTGCGTCAAAGTTAAGAACTGCCGCAGACGACCAGAACACTTCCAAAGCTCACTTACCTTCATACCCTAAAGTAGGTACATGGGATGAAACATTATAAATCAGCCGATTTTCCGTATGGTTAGCATTGCATAAACCAACCATCTTGTGCTGTTTTCATAATGACTACCAACGTATGAACGGCACATTAAAATTTTACTTAATTAGCATTTTTGTAACGAAACATGAAAATCATTTGTTCACAAATTTGAAGCTCGGTTTTACTTGAATCAGTACTGTTATCGCCATCAAAACATGATTATTATTAAACAATACGCTGCCGATACACTTGGAAGCCTTGCAGCCATTTTGCAAGAGGAGGAAAGTAAAATTCGAATCATTTATCAGAGTCAGTTTACCATTATTAACGAGCGGTGAGGTGGACGAGGAAGATTCGAATTTAGGTCAATTAACGCTTCAACTTTCTGAGGAAACGCTATTTTTTGGAAAGAAAAAAGGACTTGATACGCCTCAGTGGCACAATGCTGCTAATAATACTTTCGTAAGCAACGCGTTTTCGGTTGAGCAGGTTGATACAGAGATCAGAATCTGTCAATCAGTTTTAAAAATGAAGGCACTACAAATTAGAACCATAGTGAAAGTGTAGGTAAAACAGCATTCGAACAGCTGCGAATATTCATGCATCATTTTTTTGAGTATCACTAGATTTTAAGCTTCACTGGCACAACACTTTCAAAAGACAAATAAGAGTAATAATCTATCCAAGATTTCATTCCTTCATCACGTTCTGTTGTTAATACCTGTGAAATTTATCTTATATCATAAATAAAACAACCGCTGCTACGGCAACTCAGTTACTCATAACTGCAAATAAAATGCTCAAAAGCTGTGAGAATCAACATAAGTTTTACTTATGACGGTGCAATGAATTAATAATCTAATTAGTTTTCATCATTTTGTCGGTGAAAAGAAATCCAGGCTCCCAAAAATAAAGCATTTACGCTACTGCTACAAACTAAAGTAACTGCATAAGATGGCGAAACTACTCAAAGGACTACCCGACAGGCGTCCTGGTCTTTGGAGCACAAAACAGTCGATCATCTCTACTGATTCTTTTGCTAAGCTTTAGCAAAATGAGAAAATGACCTTTGATAATTTTATTCTCACAACTTATACAAAACTAACATAGATCATAAACCTAAAATCACGGATATAGTTCTAAGATTCACTTCTCGAATAATAATTATACAGATAATATAAAGCAGTATTTACAACATTAGCAGACAAACGGTGGAACTGCAAATGAAAAAATTCTTACATCAAGATAAAACAAAATTATCTTTACGGAATTAGCCTAGCTCCTCATTAAATTGATTAATAATCGACAGCAAAACAAATTTAAATTAGAACAGCATTATAATTATATTCTAGTAAATTCTTCTTTACTTTAATTATTGCAGCAGGTTAAAAACAGAACCCAGTATTCTGGGTTAGCTAACAAACTGATACTTTTCAATCCCGTCGGTACGAATAACAATATCTTGTCAATACTCCGGATTTTCACGGCATAGTCGCGCCGTCCTCCTGCTTCTAGAAGTGTAGGATAACGCTCAAGCACGCCTTGGATCCATCGTATCTTAGTATTATGTGTACATTATAAAGGGTTCTGCTTTGGCGTATATAAATACCTATGG